ATTGTTATAAAAAAACAAATAATGAGAAACTAACCCTAAAATAATAAAAACAAATGGTAAACAAAACACGACATATCTATATACAGATAACTAAACAGAACTAACAATAAAAGTGGCTTCAGCTGTTCCATAAGGATGTGAAGGTACCTGAAATCCTAAAATGCTATGGGAAGGGAGGGAAACAGGTCCGCGACGTAGGAAGTGGCGTAGGAAGTAGTAAAGCTTAGCACCGCAGAGTGAGGAAACCGTTTGTGGCAGTTAGATTAATGTATCTGATGTACTTAAATGCTATGAGAAGGGATGGAAACAGGTCCATGACGTAGGAAATGGTGAGAGAAGTAGTATATTCTGGCATCGCAGAGTGGGCTCCGAGCAAAGCTCGGTCCCCAGGTACTATTATTAATGTCCACACATCAACGTTACACATCAAGGCGAGCTATCCGGATTGCGGGAACTGTTTATGACGATAAGATTAAAGAATCTTTTATATTACTTCTCTGTGCTGCAATCCTAAAATGCTATGAGACTGGGAAGGTAAGGAAACAGGTCCGCGACGTTGGAAGTGGTAAAGGAAGTAGTCAAGGCGAGCTGTCCGAAGTGTGGGAACTATTTATGATGATTAGATAAAGGTATCTGTAATCTTAAAATGCTATGGGAAGGGAGGGAAACAGGTCCGCGACGTAGGAGGAGATGAAGGAAGTAGTAAATGCTAGCAGTGCGGAGTGTGGGAAATGTTTGTGGCAATTAGATTATTGTATTTAAAATACTAAAATGCTATGGAAAGAGATGAAAACAGGTCCACGACGTAGGAAGTGGCGTAGGAAGTAGTAAAGCTTAGCACCGCAGAGTGAGGAAACCGTTTGTGGCAGTTAGATTAATGTATCTGATGTACTTAAATGCTATGAGAAGGGATGGAAACAGGTCCATGACGTAGGAAATGGTGAGAGAAGTAGTATATTCTGGCATCGCAGAGTGGGCTCCGAGCAAAGCTCGGTCCCCAGGTACTATTATTAATGTCCACACATCAACGTTACGTGGTTTGCAGTGCATTTCATTTTCATACAGTACACATTTTATAAGTAAAAATGTGATTGGAATTTCTATCATTTTGATTTTCTGTTTATATTGAGTTGTTATTTGGTCACCAGCATGGCAACCCATAAGACCCATGTTAATTTTTTAAAATTTCAAATTCATTTTTTGTGTTTATTTTTGAGCCTATTTTAATTTATAAAGGGATTCTGTACATCTACAGGAAAATATCTTTCTAACAGTATGCGTAGATTTTCCCTGTGATGCACGTGAGCTGAGAAAACAGGTTTTAAATAAACATGCTTGTCTATTAATGTATAGAAGATTACATACTTTCAACATGACTAGTGTGGCTGTTGCTCGAAATCGAGCAATTAATTGTCAAGTATTGGTATTTAACAGGAGTTATTAAAAAAAAATAACAGTCATCTTCTATGAGTGCTCAAATAGTCCAAGAAAACTAAAAAAACTGACACAGGAAACGTAAAAAATTGCAAGAAAACGTTTTATGACTTTATTTTGTAGTGTTGGGTCTGCAGACTGACATACGAAAAATTGCCAAAAATGGCTTAAATTTTATTAATCACTATATAAAATCTGACTAATCTAAAGTGAGTCGTGGACCTTCATTTAACATTAAATTATTTTTATTTCGAAATTTGTCTTTTGTTTAAGACATATATACCCAATTATAAATAACAATCAATAAGCAATCTTTAGCTAAAATAAAAGTCAATACTTTGACGAATTTTAAGACCATAAAGAGTTTTGGGAGTTATTTATAATTGGGGATATAAGTATTTTACGAAAAACAAATATCAAAATATAAATAATTTAATGTTAAAATTAAGAAGGCACTATGCTCATTTTAAATTTGTCAGATTTTATTAAATGATTAATAAAATTAAAGCCAAACAATAAATGAGTAATTTGAGACAACAAAGAACTTGGTGACGTATTAACAACGCGAGATATACATTTTTTAATAAATAAGATTTCATAAACGTTAAATTTAATATTTTTTGGGGGATCGTAGCTCGCCTCTAACCCGTTTGATTTGAATTATCAATAGGTCAAATGAAAGCCCTTACATCACAGAATATTTAAAGGCTATACTAAACTGCAAGCGTTGATAAGAACTGGAGATATAGGAAAAATTATCTAAAAAAAAAATACGAAAGTACGAAACGTCCATAAGAAATGTATGGGAGAGAATTTAAATTTTCGTTTGAATATATCTTAAAAACGTAAACAGATATTTAAAAACGGATTTTGGCATTGAACTCAGAGTAAAAATATAGTTTATAATGATGTGTCTCAACGTTATCATTACATTTGAAATTTTTATTTATATCCAATATGGTGGATCCAAGATGGCGGCCAAAAATGAGTTCCCTATCGAAATGAAGTACTAACCACTAATAAACATCGGTGGTCGTCCCAAGTCAATATCAAAAATATTTTTTGGATAAAAATGCATGTGGTACCTTTTTTTTAATTTGTCCAATGTTGGGAAAAGCTGCCATTTTTAATAATGATTTTAGGTGGTTTCCGTTGGACCGATGTTTGGCAACTTTTAGTAGGTATGTCATTCTGCAGACCCAACACTACAAAATAAAACCATAAAAGGTTTTTTTGAAATTTTGTTAAGGTCATATCCTATATTTCTGACTAAAAATCGACCAATTGTCAAGTACCGTTATTATACAAGCGTTATTTAAAACTCCAGTTATAACAGTAAAACAATTTCGATTTCGATAAGTTTAAAAGACTCAAAGCTTATGTAACTAATTGTTCAAATACTCACTCTATTAATAACGAGTTGAAGTAATAAACACTTATTGTAAAAATATTTTATAATTTTTTAGAAGCCGTACTTAATTTTTAGTGTTTAATACAAACGTTTCCCGACTTAAAGCTATTACATTCAGAAATTTATAATTGGGCCGTCTTCATTATTTAACAAATAATTTAGGTCTGTTTTTTTTTTTTTTTTTTTTTTTTTTTTAATAAGATTCCTACGCATTAATATGTAGAGGTTTTATAATTTGTTTTAAAAGTTTAAGGTTTCCCAGATTGAAAATAAGTCTTGTTAATACTGTGGCTAGCAAGGGCTGACTTAACTTTACTGACATATTAGGTACTACCACTGAGTTCAGGAAAACTAGAGTTCTATCATAGTTGTGTGAAATGTGAATTTAATTCTAACTTTAAATTAATAAAACAATCAAAAACTAATTTTAATCATATAACAATCAATTATAACAGTGCTAATCTAATGGTAATTAAATAATCTATATTCAAATACCAGTATCCTCTCCAACTACCAGAAAAACAATTCAACTACTTGAGGCCTAAACAGATTAACAGAATCGTATTATATACTGTAGTATCAAAAATATTTTAAGTATTGCGACCATTGCAACTGTCGGCTACTCTTTCACTACTTGAAAACACCCATAATCATCAAGCGCAGAGAGCTCAGGAGGTAAGGTAAGAGGCTCATGAGGCGAAGGTATCAGAGGTTCGAGACTCGTCTGGGCCAAAAACTTTTTTCTCGTTTTTTTCTTCAAAATTTGTGTTTATTAACTATTTAATCAATTTACTAAACTTATAATTAAGCTTTTCATACTAAATCTATATTATTTTGTGTTTTTTATGTTCAGGCCCAGACCACACATTATCCCAGGGACATCCCATAGTAGTCCCATATGTCCTGAGAATGTCCTGAGGACTACCCTGGGATGACCTCGGATGTCCCACGGATATGCTGTGAGCTTATCCGTAGGACATCCCCGGGCGGGGACATTACGCATTCCTGTGGATATCCTGGGATATCCCAGGTTGACCATAGGACCACTATGGGATATCTTCCATATCCTGTCGCAATATCCGTGGGATGTCCTGAGAGGAGAAAGTTTGCTGTCTGGGAATTATACCAAGCCGCTGCCTGTAGTTAGAAGTCAAGGCGTATGAAAGACTTGTATACGCCTTTGTTAGAGGTGGCCGTGCTTCACCCCGGACTTCATAAGTTCAACTTCAAATCTGAACCAACTCTATTAATACAACTATTATTGATTGATTAAGTTAAGCTAAACAATACAGAATACAGTAATACAAACAAATAATCACACCTGATTTTAATAAGGCAATAAATTGAAAGAATAACTTACAAATAAGTACTGCTGAAGTATTGTTAACATTAGGTATATGGAAAGTTCCCTTTAGAAAGCAATTAGGGCAATTTATGAAAAAAATAATGGATAGTTTTGCGCAAGGTTTCTCGTGACGAACATTTTAAGCATATGGTTTATGGGGGTGTGACTTGTAGTTTTCTCAAAAGTTCATGGGTTTTTTGGGCTTTATATATGGATTTTAGTTCTAGAATAGTTTTATTCAACGACCAAATATTTACAAACACGTTGGTGCACTTGGAGTTTGCAATAGCTGGAATTGATACAATATACATACTGAAAACACAATCAGAATAGACTAGACTGAACTGAACGGAACAGATTGCAACTGAACAGCCAGAGGCTATATAAAATTTAATTTGAGGCATTTATAGTTTTATTTTATGAACAGAACTATTTTTTCTAGTAGTAAACCTTCATTCAATTTTGTCATTATCAGCAAGTTTGGTTAGTTAGGTTAGGTTATGACAGTTTAATTAAAAAATTAATTATATATTTTTTTAGTTTTAGGCCTACAAAATTTTTTTTATTTCTAATTTTTAAACTCTCATTTTGTCCGTATTCAAAAACTGCAGCTGAAATAAAAATCGTGCAGCCTAGAGCCATAGACTAAGGGAGTATGTTTTATCTATGCTAGAGCCTAGAGCCAACAGAACAGAACAGACTCGACGATGACTGACAGTGACAGATGACTGAGACTGAGACTGAGACTGAGACTGAGAAAGTGAGAAGGAGAAGAACTAAACTGCTCACTGCTGCTGAGACCGATAGCCCTTTTATTTACTCAGAACAGAAAGAAAGAAGAGTAATAATAAACGCAAACTTCATAACAAAACAAAGTGTTTTTATCAATCTCTTTATCGAACGGTGTAAAGCAAAATTACTATAAAAATGAACGGCTAAGAGCTATATCTGTTTAGAAAAATATCCATTCATCGTTTATAGATACTGTACACTAGCCTATTTCAAAATAAAATACTAATATGACATAACTTAATTACGATGACAGAACAACAAACAATACTGCCAGAAATCGAAGTTTTCCGTACTGACCAATTCTATATTTTGCTAAATAACTTATCAAGCCTCTGGTGTAACAGGAAAACCGGGGAGTATCAAGTGAAACCAGGTAAGTAGGCCTAATTCGTTTGCACTCTAAATTAATATCAAATCTGAAACTTAAACTAGGCCTAGATCTAGACCTATGCTTTTGTTTACGCCAACTAAGCTAAGTATTTAATTTATCCTTTGAATAGGCCTACCGTAGCTTAAGGATGTTAGGGAACTATTTTTAGGTAGGCTAACTTACCCATTTATAAAGGCTAGAGCCTATTTTTATTTTATTAACATGTTCGCTACTGCAATAGTACAAAATTTTTCATTCTCATGGACCAGCGACGCACAAATGTGACGGTCAGTTTCTACCCATAGACTGCTGTTGCATATTTGCGTCGGGGTTCTAATGTTATTAAATGCTTAAATATATATCTTTGTAACAGTCTAAGTTTAATTTAAGGCATTGAATTCCCTGCAGTGGTCTACAGAGATGTCTGACGCACGACTGTGTCGCTTGGTCTGTGGATATGATGATTGGTGTCGGTGACGTCATATGATGGTTGGAAAAACTGGTCTGTACTTTTCTGCATTAGCCTATATGTATGCAGTATGCTGCATTATCCTATAGCTTTTATATTTGTTCGGTTATAAACTGTTCTTAAATAATCTGTTTTTTTTTTTACTTACTTTCACCTCAAAACACAAACAAAAACGAACTGTCGCATATAACTTATGCGGGGTTTGGGCTAAGTATGATATTTTCACTACCGGTAGGCCTATTGTCTTTGCTGTAGACCGGGCGTCGCGAAAATGTGACATTACAAAAGGTTATAAAAAATATAAAAATAACAAGAATAAATGATTTACCCTACAAACACGATTGCAGCGTATTACAATGTAAATGATCACTGTTTTACAAGTTTTCGTGGTCCGTGTGTAGGCTACTGTTAACCAAGTGACAGACGGTCTATGTGTAAGATTCAAATGTATACCACGGTCTGTGGCAATGACCGCTGCGTCGCATATATGCGTATGGTCAGTAGCGAACGTGTTAAACAACATTGGCTGGCTAAACTTAGCCTATTTTTATATTTCACATTAATTATAATTTGAAAATATTTACAAAAGCCTTTTAGTTGTAGTACGTTCTGTAATGATAGTGTGATCTGATGTAGGCTGGGAGCTTGCTAACTCTGGAGACCCGGAGTGTCTGGGCATGTGCTATGGACTGGTGGGACAGGTAGACCTTCTGTCTGATACTCACCTGCTGTTAGTCAGGGAAGTAGCTAGAGTAGGCGAGTTGCAAGGCAGAGGCACTATATACAAGATCCGATCTGTCTCTCTGCTCCAGGTTGGTATGCTTTATTGTTTACTGTTAACTTAGGCTGCTGACTATACCAGGGACCTATTTTTAAGTGTTAATCAGGCCACTAAATATTTTTAGGTTTAACCATAAGTACCGGTACTCAATCCAAGGTTAACCTTTTGTGCTCGGAGAGGTCATTTAACGTCTGTCCTACGCAGTCGGATGTCCACATATAGTGGCCATCGCCATAATCGTGTCAGCTCAGAATTAATATTGCAACGTTGTGTCTCACAGCTTGGATGGCCACACATAGTGCCTATAACAAAATCTGACTTCCGCTCGGATGGCCTGTGCCAGTGCCCACAACACATTTTTTATATTTGTTTAATAATAGGTATAGTAGGATGTCTGATGAGTGCTGCAACCTATCAAGTAACTCTTAAACTACATTAGCGAATGCAATTCCCGCCTTTTTACCGCCAAGAAAAGGAAAAAAAACGTATTGATCTGAAGCTATTTATCACGACATGTCACTTGTTGTTTCAGTGTTTATGAAGCTGATTGATTTCCTGCAGCATTACTACAGGCCAAAACTGTCAATCTTTCCTTGCTTATTTTCAAACCAGGTGCACTTATTTCTTCTTTATAAGCCAGACTCTGTTTAAGCAATGCCTTAAAATTAAGCCCAGTTTCATCAGCATTGTAAATTTGCTGCGGTGAATAGTTTCCTTCAGCAATCAGGTCAGCAAATGTATCTGAAATGTATTTGGTTGCAGCAGCCTTATTGGACGATAGACGTTCACCCGTAATGGCTAATTGTCGTATGCCGTGGCGCTTCTTAAAACGATCAAGCCAGCCGGTGCTAGCAGAAAAAGACGTGTCTACGTTCATTAATTCATTTAGCTGTAGAGCTTTTTCTTTGATCAAGGGTCCACTAATCGGGGTACCTTTTTCTCTCTCTTGAGAAAACCAAACCAACAAAGCACTGTCGTGGTTCTCCAGTGGTGTGATTTTCGCTGTATGGCGGGATTTAGTACACTTACTTGTGGAAGCAATACAAAACTGGTCTATTTTTAACCGGTTTTTCTTCCAGTCTGTGATCGTAGCATTCCCCACTCCAAACTCAACAGCCAATTTTGACGCACTTCCACCATTGTCTAATTGTTTTTTAACACTTCAAGTTTGTCTTAACCAAACTTTAGTTACTTTGCTTTACTTTACTTAGTTTACATTAGTTAGTTTTACTTTTAGTTTGTATGTAACCGAAGTGTTTACGTTTTGAAGCCATTTCACCACATTCACAACCTCAAAAGATAACGTTACAAAGTGTACATAAATGTTACTAAGCACCAGGTTTGTTTGCTTTATAAATTTGTCCGTTCTGAACACCAGAATTGCCAACCTAAAGAACAAAATTGCAGTACAGTAAAACCAATGCAGTTTATCGTAAAAACAACAAGTGGCCCAGTACGTGCAGCCAACTATCGGGGAAAGCTGAAACTACTAGCTCCATCGCGTAACGCGATAAGGTTCATTTTTGGCCTTAATCGCTTTAACCACGTGTCCTACCGAGATGCTGCTAAGCTCATCCCAATGGATGACATGTGCAGAAAGCTGACCTGCTGCCTGGTCCACAAAGTGCTCACGCTGGGAGAGCCTCATTACCTCAGTGAGAGGCTGAAGTACAGGAGGGAGATCTGTCTACGTAGTACTCACTCACGCTTTAACTACTGGATGGATTGGGCTGAAATTTGGCATTCTAATAGCTCACATTCCCGATAAACATATAGGCATATTCTTATCTCAAAAATCCTTTCGGGCTCCGCACCAGTGGCTCTGTAGCTCCCCATGTTAACCATATGAGTATTCATATTTAATGGGAATTAAAGAATTTAGTCAGCTGTTTCAACTAAAAAAGTTGGTTCTATGATATGCAAAAGCATTAAAAAGTTATAAGATTGACCAACAGGGTGCAGCACTATATATTTTTTTGCATTTATGAAAACAGCTAATTTGAACTAAGCAGCAACAAAAAACTATGATACACAATGAGAACTGTCAAAGAAGGATTGTTTACAGGCATGTTTATGTTTTTAATTTCATGAATGATTTGTGATATTTTGCAGATTTTTAATAATTTATTTTTCTCTATTGTTTAGGAAAAGTGGTAAGACTGGCTATGGTAGATGTGTAATACCATAACTTAGTACAGTATACCGTAAATATAAAGAAGCAAATTTTATCAAACTGTGTCCTCCCCATTGCAAACGCAAAGCTTGAGTATAACTGCAATAAGCATTTTATACTTATATGTCAACCCCGTACGAAGGACGGGTTCTCTGCTAGTATTAAAATATCTCAACCCGAACTCAAAAGCAATTTGTAAAAAAAAAAAATCACACACTTCACTTTGGAAATATTATTTAATAATTTGAATTATTTGATTTAAAATTATTGTACTGCATTATGAGCTTTTCAAATTGTTATAAAAAGGGTAATGAATATTGCAATTTTGGGATTATGAATATCTAGTTCCAGGTAATTAAATCCAATTGGATTGGTAAAACTATTGTTCATATTGTCTCCCTTGTATAATCAATTTCAACAAGCTGACTGACTGCAGCATCTCGCATTCGTCAGAAAACTACAATCCCTGGAACAACTCAGATTTTAGGTTAGGTTGTTTAACTTATGTTTGCTATTTTCACACAGTCTCTTTAAGCCAAATGTAGATCTGTGAAAATAAAAACTGCATTGTTGCTGTTATAGGCTACTATCATATCAACTCTCTGTTTAAACTTTCAATGTTCAATGTTCTTATATTCAAAAAATGATAAAATACAGCTTGACATGGGTTACAGTAGGCCTTTGTGACTTAAGCCATTTTCATTTTCAGTTGTGGTCTCGTAATGTGCGGGGCTATTCCCCTCACATTGATGACTGTTCTGGTTCCAGAAAAACACGCTTTTCAGTTATTAACCCTCCGAGTGTCCATAGTTTAGGCCTTAATGTCCGCCTATTTTTGGCGCATTTGCAAGGTTTTATTAAAACGGATCTGAAAAGCTTAAAACAATGTTAATTCTACTGTTCTATATATCATTTTGTTTGGAAAATCATGGGCTTCAATATCATACATAAAACCTAAGGAATATTTGTTTCAAAAAAATTTTTTAGGTAAAAATAAAAATTACCTATTTTGGAAAAATTGAAAAAAATATAAGTTTGCGCTCAATGAAATTGTATAAATTATAGGCCTATAAATATTTGAAAATAGCCACTTTGTTCTAAATTTTATGAGGATTACAAATATATAATAATATAAGGAAGTAGATTTGCAAATAAATAAGTTATGGGCGAAAAACAGATTTCAGTACATAGCGTTTAGCTAAGAATGCATAGCCTAACCATAGCTAGGAATCTGGCTGATAATTTACATCAATATCACTACCTACTTCTTCAGGATCATCAACCAGCCCTTCAAAATCACTTACATCTTATAATGCACCACGTATATCACTACTTTTGATTTTTAACACTAAAACAATGATAAACATAATAAAACACATCAGTCATCGGTCCGAGGTTAACTTACCTGTTTACAAATACGCACGTCAGCTGTCTGCTACAATTACGATCGGCTCGGAGAACATAAAGCGCTTAGAGACAGACCTCTGGAGAAAGCTTAGAATCTAATGAAAAGAACGATACCTAACTCGATCCAGTTCAATCCGATTTTGTCAGTCATAGAGCCTTCGCCGTAAACAGTGTTCGTGAGTCGCTGCAGCGACGCATGACACTCGGGGGGTTAACTTTGTGGGGTAAAAATACGAACATTGTATGCTATTTTTAAGTATCTCAAAAACATTTCTGTTGTTTCTTTCCATAGCTTTGTTTAATTTTATAAGAGCAAATTTTAATCTCGTAAGTGTGCAGGGTGCAGTTTACACATATGAGACCCGATCCAAATATTTGTTTACCCTAGAAAAAGGCTGCAGAAAACAGACTTTTCTGTATTCATGAACCCTTGTAAATTTTACAATAACTTGCCCAAAAGGGTACAAGATTTCCATTAAAAGTGTTTTTGAAGCAAGTTTATTTATTATTTCATTGTCAATTGTTTTACAATGTTAGAGAATCTAGGACAGCAACCTTCTCTGACACTCAGTTTGATTTGTTGCTTTGTGTTTGTATATAAATTAAGAAACCCTCAAAATTTATGCGTTTCACTCATGTGTGAATGTATTTAAGAAAATATTTTTTGTGGTAAATTAAGAGTTCTTAATAATCTGAATTAATCCCAGGTAACTACAAAAACAGCTATAAGATACACTTTGCGGTCCAGATAATTAGCCCTCTTTAAGCCATCACAATGATCGTATTTGTGATACTGGTAACATGTCACTTGATCAATATGTCAGCCTTCAGCTTGGCCGCTCACACAAAGGATCATTGACTTTTCCTTTGACATTAAGTACCTAATCCTAATGACATTGACCTGTGAGATAAACTGTCACTTGTTATTTTCTGAACATAATTGTTTTGTCACACAACAACACTTTGAACACTTTAATTTTTCATACCTTTAGATAGTAGAAAAATCATTTTACAAGCAATGATAAGTTAAAAAAACACTGTATATAAGGAACCGTTAGAGTAACAACATTAATTAATATTATTATTGATTTGTTGGTGATCTTTAGTATGAAAGGTTATTTAAATTTAATTAACATTTTAACTGTAATTTTACCTTTTAGAAAATTATTGTTGATTGCTAGTCATATTTATCTGCTTTTCCTGATCCGCCTCAAGTCTATACAGTGTTTAATATTTTATTTGCCAAATAAACTATCTTCATGTGAAATTATTGGAAAAGAACTGGCTTTGTTACAAATGTACTTTGATATAAAAAAAAATCTAGGCCTATAGTATAAATATGATTTTATTTGAGCTTAAGCCTGTCATCATTTGCAGTTGAGAGGTCACGAGGTGGCAACCTCTGAGCTGAAGCTGAAGCAGTGCCACAAGCACAGTAACTCACACGTAGGCAATGCTGTAGCAGACAACATGCAGAGACTAGGACTGTCCAAGACCTGGGGCACTCTCAAGTCTGCTGGGAGTACCATCAAGAATACCACACAACAGGCAGCATCTCTGGCTACCATGCAGGTAAGCAATAATTACCTAGTTACAGTAACTCACACGTAGGCAATGCTGTAGCAGACAACATGCAGAGACTAGGACTGTCCAAGACCTGGGGCACTCTCAAGTCTGCTGGGAGTACCATCAAGAATACCACACAACAGGCAGCATCTCTGGCTACCATGCAGGTAAGCAATAATTACCTAGTTACAGTAACTCACACGTAGGCAATGCTGTAGCAGACAACATGCAGAGACTAGGACTGTCCAAGACCTGGGGCACTCTCAAGTCTGCTGGGAGTACCATCAAGAATACCACACAACAGGCAGCATCTCTGGCTACCATGCAGGTAAGCAATAATTACCTAGTTACAGTAACTCACACGTAGGCAATGCTGTAGCAGGCAACATGCAGAGACTAGGACTGTCCAAGACCTGGGGCACTCTCAAGTCTGCTGGGAGTACCATCAAGAATACCACACAACAGGCAGCATCTCTGGCTACCATGCAGGTAAGCAATAATTACCTAGTTACAGTAACTCACACGTAGGCAATGCTGTAGCAGACAACATGCAGAGACTAGGACTGTCCAAGACCTGGGGCACTCTCAAGTCTGCTGGGAGTACCATCAAGAATACCACACAACAGGCAGCATCTCTGGCTACCATGCAGGTAAGCAATAATTACCTAGTTACAGTAACTCACACGTAGGCAATGCTGTAGCAGACAACATGCAGAGACTAGGACTGTCCAAGACCTGGGGCACTCTCAAGTCTGCTGGGAGTACCATCAAGAATACCACACAACAGGCAGCATCTCTGGCTACCATGCAGGTAAGCAATAATTACCTAGTTACAGTAACTCACACGTAGGCAATGCTGTAGCAGACAACATGCAGAGACTAGGACTGTCCAAGACCTGGGGCACTCTCAAGTCTGCTGGGAGTACCATCAAGAATACCACACAACAGGCAGCATCTCTGGCTACCATGCAGGTAAGCAATAATTACCTAGTTACAGTAACTCACACATAGGCAATGCTGTAGCAGACAACATGCAGATACGAGGACTGTCCAAGACCTGGGGCATTTGTAACACAAATTCAGCATTTGGATCAAATTTAAAGTCATACTAAGGGTTGACTCATTTATACTATGTGTAATGCTAATCATTGATACATTCAATCCTTCGATAAGAGGATGACAGATTATTTAAATATACATAGTAAAATACTAGGATGTTCAAATTATTTTTTTAAGTAATCTTTGTAATCTTCGGTTTGTTTCAGTGTAATAGAATTTGTTTTAACTAAAAGCTTGTTAATTATAAAAATGCCCTATAAAACTATGAGGTTATTTTATTTACTCTGATTTTGTCATTGATTATAGGAAATAAGTAAGATTAGTAGACCACCGAGATAAGTAACACCATCGATGTGTACAAGTCGAGGCTCTGTACACGAGTAAAAGATATGCAAATTATTTTACTGCTCAACCTTTTTGGAAAGGGTATGAAAATAAAAATTTTTTCATGTTTTAATTCATCTTGGCAGCTTTTTTTGTACAATCAATGTTTTTGAATGCTTGAACTTTGTTTGGATTAGGCTCGAAACTATTGATGTCATAAAGAAATCCTCAGGAACACGATTTTAAATTACCACCACAACCTCAGACGGGTTTTATCCAAAGATAAACTGATGGATGACATAGATTGAACACAGCGGCATCATTGACCTAGGATTCTGCAATTAGACAAACCATCCTTTTATGAAATATAAAAAGTTGTTTGGCGTGTGTTTAGTTGTGGTTACATTTGCAGGAATATTTTTCAGTTTAAATAAATGAATATGGGGAATTACGATGTACATTGATTCAATGAGGGTGGTTTAATTATCAAGGATATTAGAACTGATAACGGAATGGATAATAAACATAGACAGTTAATTACGTCACTCGATTACTAGCGTCTTTACTTTTTATTCCTTCAACATGTGACCAGTTCTTTTGTTCAAATGAATATTATTTTATTTTTGACTCAGCTGTTTACAAAACAAACTAATATGTTGTTGTGTTTACTTTTATTTATTTACAATTATTTATTTAGCAATTGATGAAGTAAAAATTTACATAAAGGATGTGTGTGGACGATTCGTTTAATGATGTCAGGACACCAACGTTATAATTATGTGTACTGTGAATTTTAGTGGATGTCTTCGGTTTATTTTAGGGAGTTTCAATTCAGACCGACTGGAAATTGTGTATAGTATGAGTAATTGTATTGTGGTGATATTGATTATGGAAGAGGCAGGTATGCGATGGAAGGTGATATCATTGACTAGGCCTATACACTTCTCAATTGATAATTACTCTTTCTACTGTAGGCTGCAATAAAATTTGTCTTTATACGTGTAAACTAGCTGTTCTGAATTATAGGCCTACAAAGTTTTAACTGACTACTCCCATACGTAGGACGGGCTAACACCTATAATTTAATAATCGATATCAAAACATAATGTCGGAAATCTGTTTGTACACATTCAGATAGTAACTTAGCAAAAACAACAGACAAAGTCAGAATTGATCTTCCGGTCGCGCATAGCAATAAAAATTCACTTTCACGTCAGTGACCCAGGCGATGCCATGTGATTCTGAAGTGTAAGTTTCCGAAATTGAACAAAAGGATTGTTTTTTGTTATTTTTTTCTACCCACCCTACTGCATAAGAGCGTCAACATAAATTTTTCTTAAAACAAATTAAAACAACAAGTTCTTATAGATAAAATCTAAAAACTAAAGACCATTGTTATAGTCACTGCAGGCATCTTAAAAAGTCTTAAACACTGTAACAACCGCGTGACAAAGAAGACTCTTAACCTCTTTGTCCACATTATTTTCCATTTTTAGAGGAGTGGGCAGTGCATTGAATAGTTTAATGCCATTGTAAAGTAAATGAAAAAAAGCAGTTATGTGTTTTTGACATGTCTATCAATAAATGACTAATTAATGATACTAATGATTAAATAATGGATTTCATTAATGTTAAATGATTAATTAATGGCTTCTCAAGAATCATTACAATTTTGTAGCCTTAGTCATCAATCTCTATTGAAGTTCATCACCAGCTGAAGGATGTGAATGAAATAAAACTAACCGTTCTATGAATGTGGGAACCGGCTAGAACAGTAGTGGATAAAGTAATGAACACGATGTTGGTTCAGATTTTAACTAGCTTGCTTGGCTGCGAAGGGAGCTCGATGAAGACCATAATTTATGGACATCCCTCATATTTTACACAATAATTAATTAATCTTTAATGCATTGTACTCTGTTATGCAAAATCAGGTGAAAGGTGGTAACCAGATCAAAGACAAGGAGAAGTACGAGCGCAGGTTAGTGGAGGAACTACACAGGGTGTTCACAGACACGGACTCCTTCTACTTCTGTATGGACAGAGACGGACGCCCCGCAGACCTCACCAACACATTGCAGAGGCATTGCGAGCTGACACTAGCCACACCTAGCTGGCGCAATGCCGACAAGCGCTACTTCTGGAATAAGCACATGCTCAAAGAGATATTGTTGCTCAATGTGAGTAATGTACAATAGCCCTACTGTTAGACTACGGTCTCTATTGTTCCTTTTAATGACAAAATTTCAATCTGAAAAATTTACATACCAAATTAATTGTGATAAAAACATGGTGGTTACACTGAACGCTTTTTCCGATGTTTTGATGGTCAGTCAGTGTGTGTGCCACCCAGCAATATTGATGGACTTGATAAACTATACAGGGTGATCAACAACTCAAGTAGGCCACCATTGGGATATCGGAAACGGTAAGAATTAGAGAAAACTTTAAATGGGGGACATTCCTTTATTTTTTGTGGCAGTTAAAAATATGATTTTAGTTTTTTGAAATTCAGCAGCCATTTTCCAAAATGGCGGCCAACTTTGAAATTTCTTATGGAACACCCTATATTTTATATTTGATCATGTTTTCGGATAGAACATGCAATTTAAAATCTTTTTTATTCTTGACATTTTTTTTTCGATAAACCCACTCGTTTTGGAGTTACAGCCTATGGAAAAATGACTTCCGGTGCACATTTTACAATTATGTAGCTCCTAGTTTTCCACTTTTCAAGTTTGTCGCCATTTTTGAAATAATAGAATTAATATTTTTAACGAATTTTATGGTCTTTTTGGAATGTGGGTGCAATTCTAAGATTTATTTACTTTTCACAATTTTGCTCTAAACTTACTCGTTTAGGAGCTACATGATGTAAAATGTACACCGGAAATCATTGCCTCCTTGAGTTGATCACCCTGTATTTTCTTGAGAGCCCGTTATTAGTTAGTGGATTCTGGATTGTTATTGAAAACAAAGCAATATTTGCGCGAGCAGATATTTGTTAGTAGAGAAGAGGAAGGACAGTTTGAAATGTAATTTCACGAGTAATATCTCCGTTGTAGTAGCCTAATTAAATTTTTGTCTTTCACATCCACAACTATATTTTTTGTCAAATTACATCATTAATTAACAAACTAAGGTATGAAACAAAAATACTTTTCCGAAGATGACCTCTCAAAACTACTTCTAGCTTGTTTTCTATTCTGCTAATGTAAATAAGCAGCTGTTTAGTAAGTTATTGAATCATTTCTTCTATTACGATCGTGTTACTGTACATTATACCTAGGGGTGTGCGAAGCAGCAAAAAATTTTTGATTCGAAGCAACGATTCGATTCAAAAGATTTTCGATTCGATTCGATGCAACTCGATTCAAAGCAATACGGTATTTTTCTATTCATAATTGTCAATTGAGTGGATTAACAATAATTAAAATTTACCACATTTGTGTAATACAAATTTTTGTTGATGTGGTAGGCCTATTCATACTTAACATATGAATTTTAGGTGAAAAAATATTTATTTTCAATCATAGGGATTAGAATAACCTGTATTGCTGGAAATACCAGTGAGCTGCTTTACTTCCCTATTTCATAATTTTTACTTGGAATTGGCTCAACTGCAAGAAAGAAGAAAATAATTTTTTTTATCAAGACATTCATTCTCATTTTAATAACTGTTTAAATTACTAAATAGGTACCGGTAGCTAAATTACAACAAATTTGAATGAAACTTAATATAAAAAGACCATTAAGAAATAAATTTACATATCACAAGTTTAGGGCCTGTGGACCGGCTTCAGGACTGCAAGCAAGAAGAAAATAAAAATAATATGTTTCCACCATGCAATATGTATCATTCATTCCCTACCTCCTAACTTCCTTAGTATAATAACCTCACACTTACATTATTTGTTACATCATCATAAATAAAGAATTATCTATTATTGGCATGAGTAGGCCTACAGCTTTACATAGGCATTATTTTTATAGGGCCTAAAATAGTAATAGGCTAAGCAACATGACAAGTGGAGAACTCATTGAAGAAAAGATATTGTGTAAACTAATTTACTATAAAACTCAAAAACAGTAAATAACACACAAACATTGTTTATGGTATAATTATTAAGGACTGTAAAAAATGCATATCATGTCATACAGTAGTATAGACCTACTGCACGAGATTAAAATCCTAAAACAGCTGATTTTGATAGCTAATGAATGAAAAGAATTAAAAATCCATAAAATAAAGCCAAACAATATCACAATTAATTAGGTACCCGAAAAGTAACTCTTAAATAATATATAGAAGATTAAAATAATATTAAATTAAGAGAAAAGAAAGTTAAATGCTAACTTCTAGCGCCCTTGGACAACAGGTCAATGTTTTTAAACTACCCAAAATGTTTTTGGAACAGCAGGGTCTTTTTATCTGAAGGAAGGGTAGTAGTATGTCAACAAAAACAATGAACCACTCTCAACAGCCAGGCCCGGGCAACGTTTCATTGGAAATAAATTGTTCTTTTTTTTCTTTTGCCCGAACATTCGGGGATCGGCAGACCCCTAACAAAAATAACAAATGTATCAGTATATAACATTAATCTTACTAGTTAAGTATTAAGTAACAATTTTTCAGACTTATTTTTAAAATGATTTTGGAGTAACCTATCTTGTTTTGGCTAGGTTTACAGTAGTAAAATATTTTTCACACTGCTTACATCAAGACAAAAAACAAAACCTCTCATCATTTGCAATGTCAAAACAAAAAAATATAAAACAATTAAAGTTATATTTAATGCAAAGAATGTATTAAATAAGAACGCCTTCGTAAAGGAAACGCAACAGCAACGCGCTCCTGTATTGCGGGTATTGCATTGACTTTCTGCAGGCGTTTTTCGTATATGGATACTGACTCCCTCATGAATCGAATAGTTTTTTGACCACCACTGAATCGAATCGCGATTCGATGCATCGAATCGAATCGAATCGAAATTTCGATCCATTTTCGATGCATCGCACACCCCTAATTATACCGTATATAGGTCAAACTATTAACAAGAATGCAACATTAAGCTAAATCCTTACCTAATAAATTAACCGATAAATAATTTTGATCCATGCGATTGCTACAATACAAATTTTCAACTGTTTCCATCAGTTGATTTTTTCTCCCTAGGGACTAAAAAGGCTTTTTACGCCTTAGAGATTAAAAATGCTATTTTATAGCCGCAACACATTAATAAACATAGCTGTTTTTGCTGCAGTATGACAAAAAAAATATTATTGATTTAATTTTTCAAATCAGCTGGATGTAATTGTGAAATAAATGCATTTGACAGTCTATCAACGTGAATGTAAAAATTATTATGAGTTTCCTCATGATTGCCAGAAACCAATCAATATTTACTTCTTATAATCTCAACTCAGAACTTTGAAAGCCCGTGGGGCAGAGCCTGTGGGGCAGCCCGCCCTCCTCTTCTATTAAGAAATTTAATGTTAAAGTTTTCATAGAAACAAAGTGTACTGCCACTGGCCACTGGGTAAAATATTAGGGCCTACCCTTAATTTATTTACTACTGAATTTATGATGAAACAATTGTTTGGTCATTATATCGGTGGACCAAAAAAAGGCAGTGGTGAGGGGGAAGGGTGTTTGATAATGTTGCGTGGTGGGCTAAAAACATCTCATGGGAGGGGGGGGGGGCCCAATGTTAATTTTTTGTAGATACTGCTTTTTGGCATAGTTTTTGTTGAAAAATTATGTATATTTATACTGCCATAGACACCTGCTATTCTCAGACTATACAGGGTGAATAAAAAGTCAAGACCCCCCCCCCCCCCTCTAATATTTTTCCAAGTAAATATACAGAGATATCCTTTTGGTGGTCGAGCAAGCTTAGCAGGAAGTTTCATTTTATCATTTTGAAATTTTTGAGTGTCCCCCCAAAACGGGGGATTTGGGGGGCAACTCAAATATTTTAAATGTAAACCCCCCTCAAGTGACACCTCATTTTAAAGAGTTTACAAAAACTTAAAGAATGGTGAAAACTAGAGGTCGCTATCTCTTCTCTATCCAAAATGGTAGCCCGTCAAATGTAAAAAATCAATGGAAAAATTGTTAATATTGGCTGCCATTTTGGATAGAGAAGAGATAGCGAGCTCTGGTTTTCACCATTCTTTAAGTTTTTGTAAACACTTCAAAACAAAGTGTCACTAAATGGGGGTTTACATTTAAAATTTTTGAGTGTCCCCCAAAAGAGGGGATTTGGGGGACAACTACAAATGTTTCAACAGAAACCCCTATCAAGTGACACCCTCTTTTGGGGGACACTCAAAAATTTTAAATGTAAACCCCCATTTAGTGACACTTTGTTTTGAAGTGTTTACAAAAACTTAAAGAATGGTGAAAACCAGAGCTCATTATCTCTTCTCTATCCAAGTGGCAGCCAATATTAACAATTTTACTATTGATTTTCCATAACATTCGTTGGGCTACCATTTTGGTAGAGAAGAGATAGCGACCTCTAGTTTTCACCATTCTCTAAGTTTTTGTAAACTCTTCAAAATGAGGTGTCACTTGAAGGGGGTTTACATTTAAAATATTTGAGTTTCCCCCCAAATCCCCCCTTTTGGGGGGACACTCAAAAATTTCAAAATGATAAAATGAAACTTCCTGCTAAGATTGCTTGACCACCAAAAGGATATCTCTGTATATTTACTTGGAAAAATATTACAGGGGGGGTCTTGACTTTTTATTCACCCTGTAGATACTGTTTTTGGCATAGTTTTTGTTGAAAAATGATGTATATACTGTTATATCTCAGAAAAGGCTGCAGATACGGCCATTTAAGTGTGTTTTTCAGAATCCCTGACTCCAAAAACCACAAGTTACATAAAAAACTAAAAATAAAAAATGCTGCTCTTACTGCCTCCTTTTAGCGAATTTCCCATATAGGGAATAAGCTATTACCGTAGTACTCATGGTAAGACCTGGAGGCGGGACCGATTTTTTTTTTCGTTTTGAGGTCCCTAGAGGCCAAAAACACCATCCGTTCAAATTCATATATATATATATATATTTATATATTTATATATACACGGCCGCGCCCGGGAAGCCAGTCACATAAAATATACACTGGAAGTCAGTCAGTTGCACCCCCCAATATATTTCAAGACTATG